TAATTTTCAGACCATTCTCCATTTCCTTTTAAGTCATTTTCAATAATTTTTACATTTTCACATTTATCTATTTCATCCTAATTCTTTTTAAATAATTTTTATTTTTTTCTCCTTCCTACCATCTATATATAAGACCCTTTAATGCCATAGTTACTGAAAGGAAAAAAAAAAAAAGAGTAAGAACTGAGGAGCAAAAAATGGCCACAACACCAGGGTTCCTCACTGACTGGCCATGGAAGAAGCTCGGAAATTTTAAGGTACATTAAACCTAGACATTTATTTTCTTTATCCTTCATTTTTTCAGCAATTACGAATTTTTTTAAAAAAAAATACTATGTTATCACATGGAAAACTACTTTTCCTTTGTGTGCGCCTATGAACATGCACTGTTATGATTCATAAACCTAAAAAAATTTGTATGTTATTTCGAGTCAATGCATTATTCCTTTGTTTTCGTTCATGTTATTAGCTTATAAAACATTCATGAGTAATGCTATTCGTAACGAACACTACAAGTAGTCGTCATATGCGGCATACATGTGATTGTTTGTTATTTGATGCATTAATGTGATAGACTTTTATTGACTCATGCATCAAATAACAAATTGATACGTGCATAACTCGTAGGATGGCTGCCGGTAATTTTCACTATGAATAGTCATACAAATTTCTTCCTCAAAAACATTTTTCCAATGTTACCAAACATGTTGGTTCTGGTTCGAAACTCCCTTCTTGCATGATGCCTTCGTTTTCTAACCTAATATGCATGTAATTTTTGTGTGGTTTTCAGTATGTAATATTGAGTCCATGGGCAATTCACACTATTTATCGATTAGCGACGAAAGAGAAAAGCGAGATAGACTATCTCAACATTCTGATAATACCATTTCTGTTATGGAGAGCACTCCACAACCAAGTATGGATTTCATTTTCTCGACACAGAACTGCCAAAGGCAACAACAGGATTGTGGATAAGAGCATTGAGTTTGAACAAGTTGATAGAGAAACCAATTGGGATGATCAGATTCTACTGAATGGAGTTCTGTTTTACTTTTTTAATACTACACTGGATGGAGCTTCGGGGCTGCCAATTTGGAGGACGGATGGTGTGATTATCACAGCATTGTTACACATGGGGCCGGTGGAGTATTTGTATTATTGGCTGCACAGAGCATTGCACCACCATTATCTCTACTCTCGATACCATTCACACCACCACTCCTCTATTGTCACCGAGCCCATTACATGTAAGATACTACTACTTTCGATTTTTATTATTTAATCATGTAGTCTAACAAGTAATTTATGTGTTTCTTCAACTTTAAAATAAAGAACGCTTAGGGTCTGCTCGGAATTTTTTTCGCCGATTTTGATTATTTTTAGGCTATACCGTTTATGTTGAAAAAATCGGTGTTTTTTAAATTATTTTGGGTACCGATTTTGGATGATTTAAAAATCACTCAAAACATGTATAGTGTAATTTTGGCCGTATTTTTCAAGACACCATATCGGTAAATTTTGGCTATTTCTCAAATCAATCATGCTTCGTGTACATCATGACCTACATATTTATTTTCATCATGTCATGTGTCATTATCTCATTCGATAGTTTAAAAAACTTGTTTTTTCACTCACTTATTTTTTGACAACACAGCAAGTGTCAATATGAGTGTAGATGTACAAATGGCATAACCGTTCTCCAATCCACTTCTAATTTTACCATCAATAAAATATATTAATTAAAAATTTACTTATAACAAAAAATTACTTTATAATTAAAAATCTTACTTATTAAGTAAAAAATCACATATATAAAAATTCACTTTTACGTAAAAAAAAATTGTTATCACATATTAAATTATTTATTATCCAAAAAATTACTTTATGACTAAAAAATTTACTTATAAATAAAAATTTATTATAAGACAAAATTTCACTTTTGTTTAAAAAGATGCTTATAAAGTAAAAATACTAGCAATAAGACAAAAATGCACTTATGAAATATAAAAAAAAAAGTTACTTATATGTAAAAATTCGCTTACGTGGAAAACGTTATTTAAAAGAAAATAATTAACTTATAAATGTAAATTTTACTTATAAGTAAAAAAAAAATTATAATTTAATTATAAATTTAAAATTTCACTAAAGAACATATATACAATTTTATTATTTTAAAAACTTTTGAAACCGTGGATAATGAACTCCTAAACATGGATTGGACTCTTTCAATACTACTATTAAAAATCACCCAAAACCATACCCCTCATAAACATCTAAAATCGATACTTTAAAATTAAATCTCCATAACCTGTACATCAAAATTCCCAAGCAATCCCTTAGTATCGGTTTCATAGTTTGTGAGAGGTTCGATTTTGATTGATTTATAGTAACGGTTTTTAAAACAATCAAATCCCAAGCCTTTCGAGTTTATTATCCAACGGTTTTGAAATTTATTCAAAAAAATAAAATTATATATGCCCATATATAAAAAGTCGTAGATATGTGTCAATAATATGAAGTAGTTATGTATGTTACTTCTTTCAATTCGATATGGCTTTACATAGTTTACTGAGTCATTTTCTATTATGTGTGAACTAACCTTTGAGCTAATTTTTGTTGATTTGAATAAACTCTTGCATGTCAATTATTTTTTGTTGGATTATAAGATGAAGAAAATCGAATATAAATGTGAAGCTAATTTCAACAAGTATGTTACATCTACACTCTTCTTGCTAAATATTTCTTAAAAGACGACATCCAATTTTAACTTAGTGCCTGTTTGAACCCCATTTTTTCCTTAGAATGTATTTTGGAATAGTAGATTGATGGAGAATGTGTGGTTAAAAGATGAGATAAAATAATTAACAATCACTGATTTTTTTTTATTTTTTTTTTCAAATTCTCACAAAAGAATTCCGGCCCTTAATATACACCCATATTGTCAAAGTTTATAATTGATAATATTTCATAAAATCTACAACTTTCATTTAGACTTTAATAATACATTTCTCGAAACCCAATGCTTACAATTAATTATAAGCTTTGACAAACTACCTTTCTATTTTTTTAAGGAAAACAAAATATAACTTTTTATGATGTTATTAATTGTAATGGCAGCTGTTATACATCCATTTGCCGAGCACATAGCATATTTTTTGCTATTCGCAATTCCATTGCTTACAACAGTGGTGAGTGGTACTGCCTCTGTGGGATCTCTCTTTGGATACATTACCTACATTGATCTCATGAACAATATGGGACACTGCAACTTTGAGCTCATTCCTAAATGGATTTTTTCCATCTTTCCTCCTCTCAAATATCTCATGTATACGCCCTCGTAAGTTTTTCGGCTCACTTTACTATCAAAATTTCTATACTGTTCAATTTTATCCAATCAGAGTTGTGAACGTGCTTGTGAGTTATAGTTAATGACCTAATAGAGCATCATTGATCATTTTGGTCGTAAATGTTAGTTTGACTAACGAAAAAGTTGACATGACCATCTACTTAACTTCGTAATTGGCCAATAACTTTATGCCTTGTTACCTTTTTCATTAGTCAAACTAAAGGATATGGACAGATTGGTTAACTTGAAACACATTTGAAGTTAATCGAAAATTATAAATCCACTACTTGAAAGATGAGTTTGAATTTGTTATTTGACATTTACATGTGAAAAGTTTGATTCTTTGATAAACAGGTTTCATTCTTTGCATCATACACAATTCCGGACCAATTACTCATTGTTCATGCCAATCTATGACTACATTTATGGCACCATGGACAAGTCTACTGATGAATTGTATGAGACTTCACTGAAAAGGAAGGAAGATTTTCCTGATGTGGTACATTTAACACATCTAACAACACCAGACTCAATTTTTCACCTCCAAATTGGATTTGCTTCTTTTGCCTCTAAACCTCAGAACTCCAAATGGTACATGTGGTTGATGTGGCCTGTAACATGGTGGTCTGTCGTCTTAAATCTCGTAAGTGGACGCTCGTTTATCGTAGAGAGGAATTCCTTGGAGAAACTCAGATTGCAGTCATGGGCAATTCCAAGATACAATGTGCAGGCAAGAAATTCTATCTGATAGAACGTCGTGTTTTAGTATTATAAGTTAAAGGAGAATGGTTACATGTCTTGTTGAGTTACTTGCTTTTGATGGTTTTATAGTATCTTATTAAATGGCAAAAAGAAGTTATCAATGGATTGATTGAAGAAGCCATACTCGAAGCAGAAGCACGAGGCGCCAAGGTGCTAAGTCTAGGTCTACTCAACCAGGCAAGATTTTTGCAGTATATGCTCTGCATTTTCTCCATTATAATAAGCTTGCACCAATCAAAAGTGTTTTATTTTGATCTTTGCATGTACTTTTTGCTTGTTGCTGAATACATAATGGTTACTGATAAAACGAAAGGACAAATAAGTTTTAAAAAGAAAGAAGTTTCATAATGAACAATTTCTAGAAAGTTCACTAACCTCGTATTGCAGGATGAGGAACTTAATAGAAATGGAGCAATCTACATAGAAAAGCACCCGCAGATAAATATTAAGGTGGTAGATGGAAGTAGCTTGGTTGTTGCTATTGTCCTTAAAAGCATTCCGAAAGGAACAACAGAAGTCCTCTTCAGAGGCAAGCTGTCCAAGGTTGCGTACTCCCTAGTTGTTGCTTTGTGCCAAAAGGGTATCCAGGTAAGTGAAAAATCGCAACTTCGAAAGAGTTCAGTTGAATTCAAGACTACAACTGGTAACACGTTTGATACCTGAACTCAACAAGACTATTACATGATCATGTTCAGTCCTACTTGCCAAACACGACTTGACCGCTCTGTTCTTCAAAAAGAAAAAGAAAAAATATCTCGTAATCTTCTAACAAGTGGTAGTTTATGTCAGGTGAGTACATTGTACGATAATGAGTATGAGGAGCTTAAACTAGCTGCAAAGTCTGAGAGTAAAGTGGTACTCTCAAAAAGCTGTACTCAGAAGGTAAACATTTCCTTAATTTATGCTTAAGTAATGTTATTCATAGTGAGTACTATCGATAGTCGTTCTACGTGACATACGTGATGGTTTGTTATTTAATGCATGAAGTAGTAAAAAACTATCACATTAATGCATCAAATAAAAAATTGCCACATCTCTGTCACGCAAGGCAACGACCGGTAGTCCCTTACTATGAATAACATTATTCTTTATGCGTTGGTTAAAGGGCATTCGATTAGGTTAATATCATAAACTTCCATATGAAAGCATAAGCATCAATCTTTCCGTTTGATATGTGATTATTTTTTTCTTTCTTCAAAGAGGATCAAAGGATTTTACCCAACCCTCTCATTTGATATGTAGATATGGCTAGTTGGAGATGAGCTGACAGAAGAAGAACAAATGAGGGCACCAAAAGGAACATTGTTCATCCCTTTCTCGAAGTTTCCTCCAAACAAAGCAAGGAATGACGCCTTCTACCAGTATACTCCAGCTATGGTGGCTCCCCCATCGCTCGAAAATTTGCATTCTTGTGAGGTGAGCCACTTCAATGTTCCGTCTCTTTTATTTCTCAAAATATCTTAAATTGCAAGCAAATCGGGTAGACAACTGAGGCAATTCTACTCGAACCAGTAACATACTGTTGGGACTTTGGGTTCAATCTTGCAAGCCTAACATCAATGTCATTCAAATTTTCATCATTAGACTTATAAACCTGATTTGGTTCATGTGAAACACTTTATACAGAATTGGTTGCCAAGAAAAGTTATGAGTGCTTGGCGTGTAGCTGGGATTGTGCATGCCTTAGAAGGATGGAACGTGCACGAGTGCGGGGACACCTTGTTCGACATCGACAAAATTTGGCAAGCCAGCCTTAAACATGGATTTCGACCTTTAATGTTTTCGACATAATTGAACTATATATATCCTAATGTCTACCCATATGGTTAAACTCTACAATGTATTCATCGCCTTGTTTCAAATAGTTTGTGCTACATTTCCCATTTCCTACGTCACTGCTACTTGTTAATTATATATCAACTTCATCTTCTACGCAATCTTTCAATTGTGTTTATTTTTTCATCGACGCTATAATCAACTCGTAGAGAATAACATATACATGTACATTTTTTTCAATTATTTCCAAAAGAATTCTGGAATAAAGAAGCTATACAATGCAAGAGACAAAAGCATAAAAACTAAAATCAATGAATAGACCTAAGAATCACACAAACATTGTTGCAAGCTCATCATTAAGAGGATTACACATCTTTCTGAGAACATCCTCAAGAAATGGAAGAATCTGATAAATAAAACTCCATTGATTTTCATTGTGCGAAGAAAGCTGAGAAACTCGATTTCTGCATAATGGGCATGTGGAATGGCCCTTAAACCATGCATCAGTGCACTCAACATGGAAAGAGTGGTTGCATTCTGTAGCGACCGCGAACTTTTAGAA